ATCTCTATTTAAACCCATGGCATTTCTCTACCAAAACAGGTTTTATGTCCACCCTACATTTAAAGAGTTTTGAGGTTTAGTGTTACAGGATTGAAGATGCAAAAATGGCAAATAAAGACCTTATCTAGCAAATATCATTGCATAACACAGATTACAGCCAGTATTCTCATACTTTTTGCCATAGACAGTTTTCCTGTAACAGAGTTGAACTATGCAGAGTAATAATATAACTACAGTATAAACATAATGAAGCATTGAAAAAGACTGTAAAAGATAGCCTACTTACCTTTGAATGAACCCATCACATTTCTCTTCCAAAACATTTTACATTTAAAATGTATGAATGTTATTGGTTGAAGATTAGTGCACAAAACCTGATTATTTACAATTGTCCTTTTTGTCAAGACTTTGAACAATTGAGCTTGACAATATAACTGTAAACACAATAAAAAATTGACAGAGACTTTAAGAGATACTCACCTGTGTTTCAACCCATGATATTTCTTTTCCAAAACAGGTTTAGTGCCAACCCAGTTACATTTAAAATATCTATGGTTGAAAATCTATGCAAAAATGTCTTCTCCTTAACTGGCACAGCACAACACCAGATTATTTACAGTCAGTATTCTTCTGCTTTCTGCCAAGAAAAAACATTTTTCTGTAAGAGTGATCACTATTATTTTCCCACAACAGACTTGAACAATTGAGCATGACAGTATAGCTGTAAACAATAAAAGCTAATAGAGACTGTAAGATATACTTGTGTTTGAACCCATGATATCCTTTTCCAAAATATGTTTAGAGTCAACCCTGTTACATTTCAAATGTTTTGGGGTTGTTACAGGGTTAAAGATCAGTGAAAAAATGTTTATTTATCAGTCACCATTATTCACCAGATTATTTACAGTCATCATTGCTCACAATGATATTTTTCCCCATAACAGAGTTGAATTATGTACCTGTAAACATAATGAAATACACATAGAGACATCAACTCTGTTACATTAAAAAATGGATTACTGTGATTTATAACACTGTCTCGTGGTGAAGTCTCTCCACTGATTGGCTTTTTCTTTATCTTTCAGCGCTCCAGTAATGTAAGCGCCATGTTGGTGATGACCAGACCTTTGACTGGACCTAGAGAACATGTTGTGGACCTGGAGATGGTCACCCAGAGTAATGTCTTGAGCTACCGTTCCAGCTCACTGCTGAGACTCACCATTATTGTGGGTCCATACCCTTTCTAAATCATCTAGATTGACCGAATCAGCACCTTGGTTTTATGTTTGTACTGCAGCTTACTATGTTAAAAATGTTCAACACAGCATGGCTACCTGGTTGTGGTCTAGATCAGTGGTTCTTAACTGGTTGGTTGAGACCCAAAAATGTGTCAGAAACCAATTATAAATCAACCAATAGATATAAATGTTTGATTTTAAGGTTTTATATGTTTTCACATTTGTATGATGAATCTTTTGTATAATACATTTTAATACTGTGTTGGGTCGCCAATTAATCTCCATTGTAAAATGTAGGTCTTGATACAAAACCGGCTGAGAACCACTGGTCTAGATAGTTGCATATTCACTGGGTTTCAAACAGGAATTGGTTTATTAATCATAAAAAGTAGGTCGTCTGGTTTACTGAAGTTTTCAAGTAACTTGTACTTTGGAAAATGAAAGACAAGGTCAGGGAGGGTGACATTAAGACCAAGAAATATCTGAAAAACAACACAGCTGGATACCAGAAGGAAACACAGTTGCTCAAGTTTCATTCTGAAAAGCACTTATAGGTTACTCTTTGTCTTGGTAGAAAGAGGTTTGCAAGATTCTGCTGCATGTCAGTCTTTTAAATGGGTAGTTCATCTAAAAATTGGGTCGATCATTATTTACTTATCTTATGTTGTTGTAAAGTCATATAACTTTCTTTCTGTAAAACACATAAGATGAAGTTTAACAGAATGTCCTGTTGCTTGTTTCCATACAATAAACATCAGTGGAGGAGAAAAAAACCCTGTGGAGCTCCAAAAATGACAAAACACCATAAAAATAGTCCTTACGAAGCTATTTTGTGAATCTTTCCCACAGACCAAAAAGTTATTCACTGAAAATATTCCCTTCCATCACGATGCTCGAATCTTTCACACATCTTCAAATTGGTGTCGCAGTGGGTTATGACTAATTTAACGACCACCAACCATACATTTTGGTCTGTTAGGGACCAATTATGAAGAATGCACTTTTGCATTGAAAATGCGGGAAGTGGTATTGGAAAAATTCAAGGTCTTGTGACTTGTTTTTAAAAAGTTGAATGACTTTTTTTTCAACAGTACGTACACAAGACGTTGGAAAATACAGAAGGGCAATGGTCAAAGACATCTGTTTAGCGCATGTTTAGCCTACTTAAAAAAAGCTATGGAAAATCAGCACACTAGAATGCAAAAACGCATTCTGTATGAACATGGTGTGGCATCAAAAAATTTCGAATATACCGCACAAGTCATATGGATTTCTTTTATCGTGCTTTTTTTTTTGTGGCTATTTTTGTCCTCATTCCCTCTCACTGTATGGACAAGTGCAGCGTGAACATTCTGCTAAACTTCTCCTTTTGTGTTCCTCAGAAGAAAGCAATCCAAGTGAGTTTGGAACGACATGAGGATGAGTAAATGATGACAGAGTTTTCATTTTTTGAACAAACGAACCTTTTGATCTGTCAATAAATCAAAGCTTACATTTCTCATACATGGATTGTGTAGAAACAGAATGTAATTATCAAAAAGTGCTTATAGAGTCTTTACTAGATTTTACTTCTTAGCAGGGGAAAAGTGTTTTATAGGTGGAACATGTGGATAAAGCAAACAGAACTGCATAGTTAGGTGGAACAGTTTGTGTTGTAATCTAATGGCATCCTTAGCTAATGGAAATCTCTAAATGCGTCCTCCGCCTTGCAAATTCTGCTGAAATAACCTCCTATCCTATGAGAATAAGGCAATAATATTTTGGAAACAGAAGTGATGTTTTCAGGAAATTGCTGGCAAGGGCTTTGGGACGCATAAGCAATGGAACTCTTGCCTAACATGTCTGTATGGTTGCCAGAGCAGCGTTTGATCTTCTGCAGTGTTTCGTGTCGATGGTCTGTGACAAACACTGTTACTTAAACCGCTGCGTCACACCCGGTGCCCCCAGAGACGTGTTCGTGGGTGAGGCCGGAATGGTCCGCGCACCACCACGTTGTATGAAATTATTTTGGCAAGCGATCTCTACGTTGGCTGCTTTGAGATCTGACTTAGTATTTTAATGCAATGCTTGCAAATCAATCTGTATGTTGTCATTATCTGTTTTCTTATGCTCAAACACTTTGATTCACTGAATTTGTAAATGCTTCCTGTTTTTCTCTTATTGAGATCATTTTTGCTTATGTCCAAACTGATGTGGACCGGTTGTTTCTGCTCAGAGAGGACAACAGGTCTTTGTATTTGTTTAACAAACTAAAATTAATTGCATTTGCACCTTTCGTTCAGAAATTTTCAGTCTGCTCTTAAGTTGCACTTTTTCTTTACTCATTCATAGCCTTTGTGCCATTTATTCTGCTGTAAAGTTTTTGGAAATAAAAATGAATACAGTAACAATTGTGTCATTTTAATTTGCTCAAAACAAATGTAGCACCAGAAAGGAAGCATGTTCGAAAATCGAATCTTTTGCTTGTATTGCATAACATGCATGGGTCAGTTTGGTATATTCCTGGAACAGTTTATGGGGACTACCAAGATTCATCTGCAGTTATTACCTCCCGTGGTTGCAGATGGGAATATGTAACTATGTGATGTTGTCATGACAATAGTTGAGCAGTTCCTGTAAGAATATTTACACACCAATAGCCTAGTCATTTACAGAAAGCATGCGAGTCATACATGAACGGCATGTTTTTGCTTAGATTTCGATGTAAGGCTACTCTTAAATAAAAGAAAAAATGGACTATAAACTAAATGTGGGTGTAAAAAAATGTGGAGAATTATAAGAAAAATCAAATTTTAGAATGTAAAGACATTTTCTTTCTGACAAATGTATTGTTAGTGCATTATGTGAATATATTATGAGATAGTCATCTTTCTGATGGTTTTATCTGAGCAAAACATGAGGTTGGGTGGGTTAGAACCTAAGACCTTTAGGAAGCTGCCTTGATATTCGACCACCCAAATACACACTACTTTACTAATATTAGCCTAAACTGTTTGTATTCTCTGGGCCCAGTGCAAAACCTTCAACACACTGATTGTAAGGGTAATATTACAAAAGATGTTCTTCATTTAAAGTGTTTGTTGGCTGTCTATAGAAGCAATAGCACTGATGTTATTCTCAGAGCACAAAGTTGCCAGTACAAGGCTGAAAATGGAAAACTGATTAAATGCGTGGATGTATTTTTTTTATTTCTAAGTATATGAGACGGCCAAAAGATTGAGTTTAGTGTAACTTTAAACCAATAATTAATGTACGAGCCTCATCTGCTGGTTACACGGCAGTATCGCATCATTTCCACAGCTCTCACAGAGCTGCATTTCACCTCAGTTTGTGCTCAAATTAAACTCAGCAGTCAGTCTAACAACACGCTTTTAGTTTAAAAGTTCGCTAAGTGCATGTGGTTTACCTTTTCGCACGTTTCTCGCCAGAAACGGTGTATTTTTGTCATTAATATTACCGTGGGGGTAATAAATCCAGGCACGCTCGCTACTAGTAGTTCGCTGTGTGTGACGTAAGCCATTTCTGTCGGCCAAATTAGATTCGAGCCAATCACAGAGTCGGAGAGGTTTGCGTAACCAATCGCAGCGCAGCGCTGGGACTCGCCATACATGGACAGCCATCGCCATATAAGGAAACATCGGCTCGCTTTATTTGGAGGAAAGTAGATCTTTAGGCGAACGGCCTCGTGAGTTAAATTCCCAAAACAAGCGAGTTATCATCAATTATATAGTTTTAAAAAACACTAGACGTTATACACGACGGAAATACCGCCGTTCACGTGTTCAAAGTGAATTATTTTACGCGATATTGTTGTTACTGTAGGTAACTAGTTCTGTTGGCGGAGGCACATTGCGCGGTTGAGATTCGTTGTTTCCAAATGTGGCAAGTTCAGTTGAGGTTTGATTGATGGACTGTAGGCGGAAACTCTACGCTGTAAACTTTGTACGATGGTCGTAAAGGGCTAGCTTTGGGAGTTTATTTTTGTATTTCACGAGCCGCTTAAATCGTGACTTTCACACGGGAATACATCCGTCCTTAAACTCCAGATCCCGCGCGTTTAGTCCGAGTTGTCTGTTGAGTTGAGCTAATGTTTCTTAGCCTAGCATATGTGAGGTAACATAAGTTCGGTATCAAGTGAAGCGATCCGCTGGGTTTGATCTGCTCGGATCTCTACACCTACCGCAGGCTGCCGTAGTGCTGGGAGCAGGTCCGCGATGCTAGGGGGAAACGGGACGGCCAGAGGGGCTGGACGCTCCGGTAACGGCGCGGGGTTGACCCCTCTACAGGTGGGCAGCACATCTGGGGCTTTGGGGGCAGTAAACTCTGCCATAAACCTGCCCGATGGAGGCAGATACGACGACGGGCCGTCGGTGGAGGCTGTGCTGAGCGGCTCCGACGGAGACTCGGACTCCGGGGATGATGAAGAGAGTCCCGCGGTGGACAGGAGAGGGGTGAAGCGGGAGAGGAGTGAGATGGAGGTCGGTGGATCCTCGGGAACCGGCGCGGGACTGTCAGCTGGATATGGGGGAGTTTCCTCCGGGGTGGCTGGGGCGAAACCCGGCAAGAAAACACGAGGACGGGTGAAAATTAAGATGGAGTTTATTGACAACAAGCTGAGGAGATACACGACCTTCAGCAAGAGAAAGACTGGCATTATGAAGAAGGTACGTTCAGCCAGCACGTGTGTGCTTGTGCCTCCTACTGCTAGTTAAGAATTAACAGTACTGTTATACAAGCAACATCCATCATTGTACAACTGCACTAATACTGTACTACACCAATACTTGTGCTAAACCACCATGCTAATACTAGCACTGCTACTACTACTACTACTACTGATGTAGGTGTTATACACTACTAGCATTACACAGTACTGATTCTAATACTGTAGAGATACTAGTATCACTCAGTTTAAATCACAATAATGATTCTAATACTGTAGTACCACTGTTGCTAGTATTATAGCACTGCTAGTGCTACAGCAATATACTGATACAAGTATTAAACACTACTAGTAATAATTGATTATACTGATTTTGTGGAAACACTAGTATTACTAGTTTTAACACTGGTACCACTAGTTTTGTATCTATTCTGATTCTAATACTTTAGAAATACTAGTACCACTGGTTTTAAACATTATACTGATTCTAATACTGTAGTAATACTAGTACCACTGGTTTTAAACATTATACTGATTCTAATACTGTAGTAATACTAGTACCACTGGTTTTAAACATTATACTGATTCTAATACTGTAGTAATACTAGTACCACTGGTTTTAAACATTATACTGATTCTAATACTGTAATACTAGTACCGCTAGTTTTATATTTCTATTGATTCTAATGCTGCAGAAATATTAGTATCTCTAGTGTTATTATTGTACTGATAGTATAATGATAATATTGTACCACTACTCCTACTAAACGATGCGTATTGCATAGTAGTACTGTAACCTCTAGTAGTGTTTTTTATTTACAATTTATTGACTAGTAGTATCAGTTTGTACTACTATACTGATACTAGCGTTAATATACCACTCACACTAGTTCTGTAGCAATTTTAGTGCCTTTTCAGCTTGAACCATACCATTGTCCTGTATCAATTAAATTAAATTTACTAATGCTAGTACTTTACCAATTCTAGTGCCGCTACACTAGTATTGTACTTTTACTAGCTCGAAATCAATTATACTAGCTCTAAATCTATTTTACTGATTGTAATTTACCAATTGTAGTGCCATTATACTGATGTTCATTAGTGGTCGACCGATATTGGTTTTTTGACAGCCGATGCCGATATCTTGGAAAGCAGGGTGGCCGATGTAAAGCCGATATAATTTTATTTATTTTAATTAATATTTAAGAAATTTTAAAATTTTAAAATGGGATAAAAAATAAATGTGTTAAATAAACATACTTATACTTTAGATGACAAAGTATTTTTCACAAATAAATAAATATTTAATAAAAAAGGAAGTAAACACTGTAACCAACAGGGCACTCAGTGTTCTGGGAAGTTTGTGTGCATTGGGAATCATATTTTTTCAAATAAAGCTAAGGTAACACTCATTTTACATACAGCACACAGTGGAAATTACATGAATATGGCAGTGGGCAAATGCATAAAGCGCAGCATAATTTAAAATCACCAGTTTAAGGTTTGTCGATCGCACGTCTCCAGTGAAGCTGAACTCTCCTCCTGTCCGCATTCAATTCGCACGGACCGACCGTCACGCAGAGAACACATGATCATGCAGGATACACATGCACACTTCACAAGTTTGCAAGGTTTGTGAAATTAAATGTTCATTAGTCATTCAAATGTTTTTTTTATCGCTGTCCATATAGGCAATATTGACTTGTAAATGATTAACTAACAATCTGGTCAACATAAAGTTCTTTATTTGAAGCACAAGTCTACAAGAAAGGTAACTTACTGAAAAAGGGTTGGTGCTTAAAGTGCTTCACTGAGCTGAGATTTAAACTTAAAACATCTCAAGATAAATGAAATAAAAAGAAAATCTAAATTAAGTGTTTTAAGGGCTTCAAACTGAACATCTCATGTCTTATGGACTATCCTCCATTGCAGTCACATGCCCCTTGGATGGCCAGCTCCTGTAGTTTGGCCTTCTTGATCTTTGGCCTTGGCTAAAGCAGCTGGCCACACTCTCTCTAGCATCAAAATCTTCTAGACTTGGCCCCTCTACATTGATTCTTATCAGATCCTCCACTGTGTCTGAATGAAGGGATGCTCTAGTGTCTGATTTGATCATCTTCTGTGCAGAGAACCCTCTCTCACAAACTGCAGCTGAGACCGGGAGGACCAGCATAATGTGTACAAGGTGCAGGATGTTCTGGGAAAAAAAAATACATTCAAGAGATCTATTTAAGCAATGTGTGTTAGATAGCAAAATTGACACAATCTTAAGAAAGAACATTAACAAAAACTGACCTTGTACTCTGAGCAGTAGGGCTCTCTGGTCAACATGAGCTCCCAAAGGCTGAGGTCACACAATTCAAATTTACACATCCCACTTCATCTCCCTTACCTGTGGTAGGATGATCTCACTTACTAATGCCACTGAACACGTCTGCAATAAAATGGCAAATGGCCACAAAAGTGGCATCTTCCATTGATTTCTTAACCTGTATCATACAACAGTAAAAATTAGTCACATAGAGCACTGATGAACTAAATTCCTAACAAAAAATAAAATCAATAACAAAGGCGTAAGTGTCTCTAATGAAAGGAATATTCTGAAAGAATGCACTGGCCTTTGTAGCTCGGCCTGCAATGTCTGCATTGGCAGAGGAGCCTGCCAAATGGTCCATATGGTAGTACACAGCAGTGAACTGTCCTGGTTTAAGAAAGGTCTCCAGGGCCCTTGAAACATGTGGGAGCCACCTTGTCCCCTTCACCCCACTGGGCATCAGCACATGTACCCCCAAGTCAGCCCCAATGACCCTGAGCTCTCTCATTGATTTTGGGCTAAAATGGTACGTCTTCCAAATTAAATGTAGAAGGTCGTACAATTTCCCCATCATTGGATTGTCCCTCTGCACTGACAACATTGCCAATTCCAATCTGAAAAGATAGTCAAATTTTAAATGTGGATACATCTGCTCTATAAAAGAAAATAACCCACAGCGACTTTAGGGTGTCAGTCATATCTTATCTTTTAGTCTTACCTGTGAGGCATACAGTGGAAAGGCACAATGTGGTCACCTGCCTCTTGCTGCAGAAGGGCTATGACACCCCCTTTGCTGCCCAAATTAACAGCAGCACCATCAGCACCCAGAGCAATGATTTTCTCCAGCCAGTTACTGCACTGGTCCCCAAGAGCAGCAAATGCTTTCTTTGAGGCAGCATAAATTCCTAATTAAACAAATAAAAACGATAATACCATTTACTTCACAGATCAAGAGTTTATAATGCAATCTATTTTTTATTTGTTTTTAATTTTCAATGATAAGAATATTACATATGGTTAATGCAGTAA